GTGTGGACAGAGGGGAGTATTTTGATGGGAATTAATGGCAATGTGTTCTTTACTGAAATAATTTTTTAAATAAACATTCATCATTTATTTCCCTCAGTCTTTATACAGCAGTATGGGACTATGAAAAAAATAGTCATAAAAAAGACTAAACAGATTGAACTTTTTCTTGCTATATTGGATAGCATATATGTGTCCCCTTCCCTCGTGCTTGGTCCTTTTTGGAATGTCTTCTCTTCCTCATGTCTTCATTCTGCACAAGACCCTCTGTTAAGAACTGTGTGGCCCTCACACATTCCTGTTACCCGTGGTCCTCCTACCAGTAACATGAGCATCCCCTGAGGACTTTTAGACTTTCAGATGCTCAGATCCCACCCAGACTCCAATAACCACAGATTTCCTTTCAACAAGACTTTTAAGTGATTTTTGTGCACATAAAAATTTGAGAAATACTGTTTTTGAGTGTTAGGGGCAGATAAATGATAGCAAGTGAATTCTCATAAACACTCCACTGTTTTCATTGTTAATTGGAAACTGCTCTCATATCAGCATATTTTATTGAATTTTATTTAAAAGTACCATTTAACTTTTTTTTCAGCAGTAGGGTTTGAAAACAGGGCCTTACAAAAGCACTCTATCACCAATCTACACTGTCAGCTGACTTTAACTTTTAAACATTGTAAAGGGAAAAGAAAGAAAACCTTCAAAGTTCTTTAAAGATTGCCAGTGTGTTCACTTATACTGTCAGACTAACATTTTCTTCCGATTTGAAATTAGATTTTTTTCCTGCTGTCTTTCATTGTAATTAGTATCTATAAATTATGAGTGCTACAGTCAAATTGGGTATCATTTCCAATTTCTTATGCCTGCTAATTCTGATTTTCTGCATGCTTTGTAATAGAAATCAAGAACAACAATTTAAAAAATGGTATGGGTGAAATAAAGCTGCAGTTGCCACCCAGTAACCCTCAGCTGAATTTCTGGGTCCAGTCAAATAGCCCTGAGGTCTCTGCTGATTCATCATATGCTAAGTCATTGTTGTATATTCAAATTTTCAAAATACAGCTTTTGTTCACCTCATGGCTTTACGGTACAAGTAAGTTTCATTAGAAAAAAAATCCATTTGGATTCTAAAGCATTTTGAAAGGTCATAATCAGAAGGATGATTGGGACAGAAACAATCTCAGACTCCGGAGCAGTCTGGGCCCGGAGTAATTGCACACATAGCTGCTTCTCTACCAGCTTCTGCCCTGTCTGTCCCCAAGCCCGGTCAAGCGCTTCTGACGCAGAAAATTTTGCTTCATATTTTTTATGACTCAGACTTTTAAACTAGGACATGGGTTGCAGGAAACAAATTAGCCATTTGCTTTGGCCTACTAAAAGAATTAGCTCATGAAGAGTATGCGTCTGGATTTAATACTGAAATTATAGGTGAAAATAATCTATCTGTGCTTCACATAGTGAAAGAGAAATTGCTTCTGAAATTACTATTAAGTCCACGGTGGCATAACTTTCTAGCATTCTACGCATCCTTGTCTTCACGAAATCCATTAATAGGCATTTTCTGACTGTGTGCTAGATACCTTTTTATGCAAAGAACCAAAAGATAAACACAACTCACTACAGGAGTCTCCTGTTAGCTGCTTCAACAAATAATTACTAAGCAATGTGATAAGAGTGTATGGGTTACACACAAAAGATTCATTCTGTGGGAAGACAGGAGAAGAAATAAATGATTAGAAAGGCGACATTATGTTAATGCATGTTTTGTTTTGCTTAATAACTGGTCATCACAGCGAAAATACATGATGGCATGATATTAAGATTAGAAATCACTTTTGAACCAACTTAATTTGGAAATAAAAATTCACACCATTATGAATTAGAGTGCTAATAATCGGAGTAAGAGTCAATTTTAAAGTATAAATGGAAGGAAACAAACAATAAAAACAAAATACTGAAACCCCATCTCAGTAAAAGTAGTCAATTTTCAGGGATTTAGAAATCCCTAAAACTTAATTTTATAAGTATCTGATTGTTCTCACTTAATAGCTATTTGGTTCTCCTATGTGTAAGAACCCAGCAATCTATTTATCATCAAAATATGGATTTTTCTGCTTGGTTCATTATTTAAAGCAATTTAGATTCCAACTTGGCTCCTCTTTGCTCCTCAGTACTATCCTACAAGACCTCCTCCTGAATTAATTGATATAATGAACTCATGTAGATAACTTTTCCTATTAGGCTGAGCTAATATTACCCCACAATCACTTAAAAAGTAAATAGATTACACAAAAACATATATTAACCACATGTCAAAATTAAGTATCAAGCATGTTTTAGTTTCCTGTGACTTTGGAGCATCAGTCCCTGGCTTCCTTTTAGGATGTGGAGAATGACAATTTTTGGATGTCAACACTTGCTATTGTGGCCAGGCTAGGAGTCCACATAGTGTGGTGATTATGGAAAGAGACCCTGATCACAAAGGGCCACATATAACGCGATTGTCCTCCCTTCCCATAACTTTTTGTCCTGGCTCCACCAGTACCACTTTTCAACACTTTATACAACATGTTTTAAGAGCCAAGTATACTTTTATGCTCCAAACTTTATTAAACCTCTACTCAAAGCTATCCTAGTATGCAAATTTCTGTAGCATTTCATTTTGCTTTTAAAATTCATCAGATTCTTTCTGGTGTTATATTTGGCTGGACTCTCACCCTCCACCCTCACTTCTTTCTACCTTGTAGATAGATAAGGTAATGGATGTGGACCATTTCTGTAACCTTCATTCTCCAAAACCAAATTACATAAAATCTTCATGTCTGTTAAACACAGGATAAAATTTTCCATCTCTCAGGATAATCTGAGATCATGCCTTTGTTTATACTATGCTTCAGCCCATCAGAACTTTCTGTCCCATATTCTCCTTCTACAGCCCTGCTCATTCAATAAAGCTCAATCTAAAAGCTTGTAATTATCCCTGAAATCTACATAAGAGCTCTCACATGAAATTCCACAGTATATGTTGTCCAGGAACTATGCCACTTTCCATTTCTGCCTGCCTGTGCGATTCTCATGTACAATATGTCTACCTTCCTGAGTGATAAGCTTTTCAAAAATTATACATCCCATATTATTCATCTTTTATCCTACATAATTCTGCACATACTGCAGGAGTTCAATAAATGCTTGTTATGGTTGTAAAATTTATGAGGAACTGTGGCAGAATGGAACACTTATGTAGAATCAACAGGCTGCATGTCACACTGACCTGTATGCTGCTACCGCATATTTTTGGCATGGCTGATGGTAAATAGAGACTAGGAGATGGAGAATGCAGAAAGATGAAACCAGCTCTATCAGATTTTGTAGCAGGAAGCAACTAGGGCATTGTGATTAATGATTTTCACACAAGATAGTTCTCTCTCCATCCATTGCCTATGACTCACTATTATGGATTATGCTATTTTAATTTGAGTGAACTTCTTTATTTTATAGTTTCCTAATAAAATCTAGACAGCCTCTGTGAAAACCAATAGCAACTAATGCTTTCTTTTGAAAATTTGTGAGCATTTTAACCAAGAAAAGTTAGAGAGGGAAAGTTGGATGGAGGAATTGAAAGAAGACACAAGGAAATGGGAACATGAGAAAGAGTTTGCACCATTAATATAGGATGCTCCAGAACAAATTTCAACTTGGTATTGCTAGGGCACAAGTTATGGAACTGGAAGATGTGGTACGGATATATGTAATTGACTTTAGTGGCCCTCCATTTTCTGCCTAATTATTTCATAAACTTTGTCTCCAAGCCTAATGCAGTGATCATACACATTGGAAACCGCATGGGTAGAACTAGAGAGCCTCTCGTTAAATGAAATAAAAAGCAGAGAGAGTCAACTACTTCAAGATCTTGCTCATAGACAGCAACTAGGAGAGTAGATCTCACAGAAAGTGAAATGAGAACAGGATTATCAGAGGCTTGAGGGTGGGGAAGTAAGGATGGAAAGAAGTTTCATTGGACACCAAGGTCCATCAGATAGGAATGGAAAGTTCAGGTGTTATGCTGCATAGGAGGACGGGTGACTGTAGATAATATCTATGCATTGTGTGTTTTAAAAACTAGAAGAAATGAAAGAATTTTTAATATTTTTACCATAAGAAAGTGATGTGTTTGAAGAGATAGATGTTTAACTAGATTTAGACATTATGCAATACAAACATATATAAAAACATCACATAGCACACACAGATAAGTGCAGTTGTTATGTTTTGATGTGATGGTTTAAAACTAAATGTAATTTTAAATTAAAATATTTTTTAAAAGCACCCCATGTTTAAAATGACTGAGGTTCTGAAAGATTAAGTTAATTAGTTACAATTAGCTATCCAGTAAACAGAAAGTCCCAGATTTTAGAAGAAATTTGTTTTATTTCTCCTAAATTCCCTATTCTTTAAGGAGGCATGTTTAATTACTCACCTTGATATAGGTGGAGGTGTTTTGAAGATTTAGAAATTTTTCTTGATCGTATTAGTATATTTCATAGCTTTTCATCTGAATTATTTCAAAAATTGGAATTTTTATGGAACATTCAATGCTACATGTCTTTAACTTGGATTTGGCCTTGATAAAGAAGAAAACAGGATAGGAACCAAGATGGTTTATCTTCTATCACTCATCAGGCAGAAGCTTAGTTGTCATCATCTAGGGGTTAAAAAAAAAAAAATTGAATCTGTGTTATACAAATGATCTCTCATCTGGGTGTCGGTATCTGCTGTTTACTCAAAAATAGGAAATGCCAGACCCATGATACATCATCTTTCCTGTGCTTGGCACCTTCCATCAGGAATCATATTAATCTGCTTAAACTAACAAGGATTAATTGCCTCAGTAAGGCAAGCTGGCATTAGCTGATATAGTGCCCAAACAGCTTGGAATCTGGCCACTCCTAAATCTCGTTTGTGTGCTGGTTTATTTCTGTTTGTCTCTCTCTTTCTGACAGATGTGTGCCCAATCACTGTGAGCATGGTGGGAAGTGCTCGCAAACGTGGGACAGCTTCAAATGCACTTGCGATGAGACGGGCTACAGCGGGGCCACCTGCCACAACTGTGAGTGCCAATTTATCTCAGTTTAATCTCATAATTGCATGAGAATCACACAGGTCTTTAGTGAGGCTTCAATGCTCAGCAACCTGAATTATCCACACATTGCATCCGTTCCTTGATTGTGAAAAACTCAGACTCCTTTGTCATTCCTCCAAAAAGTAATATTCTAGTTGTCAAAATGCATTCCCTCATGCCTGATTACTACAAAGGAAGGGCTGATGTCTTCAGGTTCCAGTATATGAGATTGGAACACACATTTGGATTTCCTTCTCTGGGTTTAAGCTACATCTATCCAGAGACTGTTCCAGAAGCGCCAGTGGGATTTCTCTGAGTGGACCCTCATCTATCAATTCATCAGAGAGAAACAGACAGAGTGTAATTTGAATATTTCATTTCTGGGCAATGGTTGCCTTATGCTTAAGCCCAAGTATTTGTCCATGGAGTGTGGGAGGCTTTGTTTGTTTTTTAGATCAGAGAAATGAGTCAGAAAGTAGAATGAACTCCACTGAAGTTCTATATCTATAAAATACAAACAGATGGGAGAAACTGAAATTTAAAAATTATTGAAAAGTAGCATACAAAAATGATGAGTAAAATAGAGATAATGTTTTCTTTTATATAGCCGTTTACTGCAACGTTAAAGAAAAAGTAACCTTTTAGAATCAAAGCATGCTAGCTCTATAATAATACTGATTATTCAGTCATGCATTGCCACTTTACAAAGCATTTTTTGAAATAGATTTGCTAGAATATATACGTAGCTGAGTAGGTGATATGTTGTATAGTGTTTGTAATCATGCATGTGGATATGCCCAAGTATATGTGGGGAGGGAAGAAGGGAGGCAAAGAGAGAGAAAAAGATATCCAGCCTTCTCTCCACATCCTAATACACACTTCCCAAATAGTTCATATGCTGAAACTCTAATGCCTCGGCCCTCTAATTATACAGAGGAATTTCTTTCACTTTACCTTTAGGAAATGTCAAGCAAAATAGTCCCAGGGTAGAGTTCTAGGTACAATAAATGTGCAGAATGGTTCTCTCAGCTTTTCCATAGTGTTATTTGTAGCAAGGTGTAAACAAAATCCTGTTTAGAATGTAATGTAAGATGTAATCTAAGAAAAACTATAGTTAATTTGTCTTCACTTACTAGTACTTTACAGAGATATTTTTAAAAAATCAATAACCAAAACAATCTTTTAGAAAACTAATACTAGTGGGAAGATATTTAAGAGTCAAACCAGACAGGCAGTGAGTTTGTCATTAGTACAGCACTTATAGAAAGGTATTAATGTATAAAGAACAAAAGTAACTGGTAACAGAATTGAGTAAAAGAAACACAGCATGGCTTAACAACTTTACCAAGACATTGACACTTAGTATATGATACACATTACATAAATTATGATGCTCAAACAATTTACTTTGTTCAATCAGAGACCTTCCCTTCATCAGAATATTTTATATCATACATTATAAATAACAATGTTTAATTGTAGGAGATTTTGTTTCTGAAATATAGACATGAAACTAAAGACAAAGATCAAGAAATTGTTGGCACTTACAACATCCTACTTCAATAATGACTTTGATATTGAAATGAAGTTTGTGATCTTTTTAAAATAGCTGTTTCCATCATGAAAAGACACCATTAAGAGAAAGAGTCTTAAACAAATACATGTTACTGACTGAATAGTTGATCCTTGGTTTTAAGAGTAGTAACTGCAAGAGTGTTTGAGCTTAGCTCCGGTAGCCAGCTTTAAATGTAAGAGAGGGAAATTACCTCATGTCCCGTTGCTCCTTACCACTTGTTCCTTATTGCATTTGGTACTATGCTACTATCAAAAATACTATCTTTGTGGGATTTAGCTCAGCGGCATAAGCGCCTGTCTTGCAAGCAGGGAGTCGTGAGTTTGATCCCTGGTACCGATAAAAAGGAAAAAAGACAAAAAAAAAAAAAAAATGCTATCTTTATTAGATAATGAAAACCTGATCCCTCGATACTTCCCCTAAATAAGGTACTGAATGTCAGGCATGGGCCTACGTGGAGGTTAAAAGGCCACACTGCATAATTGAGGAAAGGGCTTTGTTCTAAGGAATTTCCCCCGTAGCTTATTTAAGGGATATATTTCCCTAGAAAAAAGTGTGACACATCTCTTAGTACTCTCCTGGACTAGGCAAAAATTGAGAGCGCCTGGCACAGCCTCTAACATCATATCCAAAGACATAATGTGTGCCATCAAGTTCGACAAACAGAATTGAAAAATTCTACATCGGTGCAAAGTCAAAGGTCGCATTCAAAGCAAAGGCACTGGTATGGAAGCATCTGTGGTGCTGCTGTGAGGACGCGTGCTATATACCTGGCTTCTTCCCTAGAGCTCTCTGTACTTCCATTGGCTGAGGCTCGCTGACAGCTCTTAAATGTCAGCAACTTCATCAGCTAGGAGCTCAGGTTGCCTATTCTGTTTTTGTTTTGTTTGTTTTGTTTTTGTGGTGTTTAACCTTGTTAGTGTTATACGTGAACACCACAATCAGAAAGTCCAAACTGTTTCAAAATATGAAGCTTTTCAGTACTAGCATGGCAACTCAAATTTTAGAGTCCAGAGTCTTTTAGATTTTCCTTTTTTGGATTAGGGATGTACAACCAGGAAAGTCTACACAAATATCCAAAAGCTGAAAAACCGAAATCTAAAACAGTTCTCACCCTAACTATTTTGGGTGAGTGATACCACCAAGTTATGTTAAATATTTTAGCTCATTACTTATTGCAAAAGACCAAGAATTCCTTTTGAACAAAGTTTTCTATTTTTAAAGTTATTTTCTTAAAAAAACAGTGCAGGCAAATGAAATCTAAAGTTTAGTATAACTAAATATAGACCTTCAAGCATTATATTTAGGCTGCAACACATTTCAGCTCATTTGCTATACTGGTCCAGGCTTGGGCAGGATGAGATAACAATTTTCTGACTGATGTGCATTCTAGCCAGGTGAACCACGGATATGTTTTTTGTTAGATCACACTGCCTAGCCTGGGTTCTGCTACTTAGTACCATACCTCCGGTCACTTAAACTGTCTGGGCTTTAGTTTCCACCTTTATGAAATGGATCCAGTGCTAGTGTCCACCTCAAGAAGCCACAGTGAGATTAACAGCAATGATTTAAAGAAGGTTCGGTGAAGGACTTCACTGTAGATTGCACTTGCTACATTTTTAACATGTCATGCCTTTCAGCTGCAATTGCACCATTGCCTCACTGCTCTGAACTTCCACACCAATAATTGTTGTATCACACAATGTATCACTTAATTTCCCATCATCATCCACTGCTTGCTACTATTTCCATAGCAGATCTGGGCTTGAAGGCTACGACTGGCTCCTGTAGCACATCCTTTCAGAAGAATTGAGCAGCATTAGAGACAATCTGGATGCTCCTAAGACATGTATCTAATTGTTTGTTTATATATGCAGATTTTCAAGTAAGTTGTGCACAGAATGGACCCCACTCCTCTAAAGATCAGCATGTCATCCTTTGATGAGGAGGTTCCATCAAGAAAGCCAAAGATAACTGTTGGCTGTCCATTTCCTAGGAAAGGGCAAGCCAGGTTGCATTGTCCAAAAGAGTGTTTCTGTAACAAGATGAAAATATAAGACATTTTTGCAGTGTTAAAAATTCTTAGGCAGTTACTGTATTCTCAGTGAGTTTCTAAGGACTGCATAGTAGTATATCTAAATATAAAAACCTGACAAAAAGAATAAAACAGCAGTTTCCTTTGAAATTGTTTTTTGTTAATACACTAACTTATCAGTGCTTAACCCTCCCAGGAGCATAGGATTGCTTCTCTTGTGAGCAAAACTTCATGTTTGGAGTGACAGCCTTTCCTTTTAGATGTAGTAAGATACTTTCTGTTGTCTCCAACCTGACTTTTCAACACTGCAAATGTTCTTTACAGTGTAATTATCATCTCATTTTCCCCCACATGTGTTCCTTTTACTTTCATAATCGAGGCCTGTGCATAAATTAAATCTAGGCACTTATCCCATATCTCAGGGCTTCCTGGATATTTTATTTTTATTTTCCTTAATACAGGGGTACTTCAGTTTACAATTTGTTTTACAATTTCGGGGAATATGACTTCATTTCTGTTTGCATGAGGTGGATGGCTGTGTTCATGTTTGTCATCTGATGTGGAGTTTGCAGATGGAAGCAAAATATGACTGAACACTTTTGTTTTTGAAGGGAATTGTTTGCAAACAGAAAGATTCATGACCAAAGTATTTCTTAATGTGGCTGCATTCCAGCTAAGACTTCAGTCATTCTTACATAAAATATTGCACTTGTGTAGAATTTCCCTAAACTTACCTACAACATCCTTGATGATATGATAACACAAGCAAGAAGGTAAAGGATAATGTTTTGGTAGATGGAAAATACAAGCAATGTTTGGGGATAGAAATTTATAATAATTTTGCAATGCCACACATGCATCTCAGAGAAAATATTTCTCCAGGGATGTTTATTGCAAGAGAGAGCACACTCCATATATACAGGCATGACACTTCTAGGAGAAAAACTAAATGACCTATAGGGATCTGTTTCAATTTTTAAATTACAGAATTCAGAAGTTCTACAATATTTAAGAAGAAACTGAGATTAATGTGACTCTACATTAGGATTAGATATAGAATGTATCCCAAAGACCTTATTGTAAACCCAAATATCGAGTTCAGTCATCCAAGTATTGTAATCCTTTTTCTAGTTTTCCTCACAACCCAAAAGGTTATATTTGTAATCACATTGAGAGGTCATTGGAATCCTAGCAAGATAATTCCAATCTACCACCACCAATGCAACCCATGGCGAGAGTAAAAACACCAAGACATTTTTCCAAGTTAAGGGCAGCCAAGGGGTCCTAAATCCAATCCTCATGAGAACATGTGGACAAAGGCCTGGATCCTAGGTCTCTCCCAGCATTTATTATCTTGTGAAGAAGAGGGATGGCTCAAGG